TTGAGAACCGGCCCACGCCTACGCGACGCGGCGAGCCATACATGGCCACCGTCCAGAGCTGAACCGTTACCCCGGAGACCGCGAGCCGATTAATGGCCTCGGCGGCCCCTTTGAAGTTCGTCCAGCACGCGGAGAGGCTCCGGGGCACCGGAGAGTCAGGCGGCGACATGTGTTGGTGACCCGCGACGGCCGGCGACGTTGACAGGCGACAGATGATGACGACAGGTCAGTGTGGCTGGTGACGATGATGGGTGACGGGTGACCGAGACAGGCGACGGTGACGGGTAGCGGGAACAGATCACCGACACCGGCGCCTCGGCTGAGAGCTGCACAAGAGCACGCCCTAGGAGCACGCCCTGGGAGCACGCCCCAGGAGCACATACGTCGAGGTGGCTGCCTTGGCTAGTGTAATCCTGGGGCGGTATTTGCTGGGCGGTGCTGGTGAACAGAAGTTACTTCAATGTTCGACGATGGTCGGCAGAACGGTTGCGATGCAGTAAAATTGATCCTTCACCTAACAAAGTTGACTACGTCCAAGCAAAATTTTCAGAAAAGGGAGAACGTTAAAAAAACAAATCGGTCAGGTAAGTGCCGAACACCCGCGAGCGTTCATTGGCGATGCAACCTGGTCTAGGGAGCTGCACTGAGTTAAGTACACGGCTGAGAAAACACGTTGTCGCTTGGTCATCCGTCCAGTCCGGGGCATCATTGGTGGCTGTAGGGGAGGAGAGAGGAATGACTTAAATTCTGCATTTGCCATGAAGGCGTGCTATTAGCTGTGGTATTTTTGACGTTGATCGGATGTGTGAAAGCACAATTTTTTCCGAATGTTTGCCATGGGCTTCTCTTTCATCCGGAGGCACGGTGATGCGGGTGCAGTGTTCTTTTTGTTGCTACGGAATCAAGTTTTTTTGTCCCAGCATTAGAATCTGATGATTACGTAAACGGAAAGCCGGTTTCCTCTTTTTCGTTACATTTTGCAAAAATTATAGTAATCCTTGGCGGCTTGATGGCCATGTTTTACTGCCTCATAAATAGGAGCTGCGATGTTCAGTTTCGCCCTTGGGATGGCAGGTGTCTGTTTGCTGAGGAGCGCCAGAGAAGCAACGTAGATATGTTGACGGAACCCACGGGATACAAGTCTGGTCACTATGGATGACGTACGTGCGTGCAGCAGGGCGGCACCGATTCGTGAATACACAAGCGATTGCCAGTCTAAGCAGTCAGATTCCTCTGGCAACGACTCAGTCATACTTAGATTTTCCACTGTCGTCACAAAATTAGGCTCCGAGACGGGGTCCAAGGCGGACACCAAACCACGGGCAGTAATAAGCGTGCAGTTTGCCGGTTCTTTAAAGGCTGTCACTGAGAATTGTCGCCCTTTGAGGCTAGACTTGGGAATTGTTCAGCAGCACCAAAGCGCGACGAGCAGCACCTTAGTTCTGCTCTCATTGAGCGGTGTGAGGCGAAACAGAACGACGCACTCAGTGAAGCACTCAGGTGGCCCTGCCCCGTGGAAACTCTCACGAGCTCTCCCGCCTTTAAGTCCGAAGATCCTTCACACCCATCCAGAATCATATCTTCTTTGGCTGATGCCCTCCCCCGTAACAAACACCAAACAACAAAGGAACACCACGGCTTCTATAGGTCAGCATCGTCCGGTTGGGATCGCGCCAGCGTATCTTTGTATCTCATCTATTATTTCTGGATTGTAAGCCTTTGTGACTAAAGAGGAACGTCACTTTTTTGCCGATCGATAGGCGTTGAATGGCCTGCGGGACAGCGCGGATGGTGTGGTTGTAGCCGTGCTTATCAGCAGTGAAGCCACGCTTATCAACAGTGTAGCCGTGCCTATCAGCCGTGTACTGACGAAGGCCGGCTTACACTAAGCTGTGTTCGCTTCGTCACCTGGTGGCAGGCTAGGGAGGACGTCCCTGCTCTGCAGAATCAGGTCGTCAGATAAAACACATTTTAGTTCTCTCCTGAGCACGGATAATCCGGCATCCTGACTGACCACCACCCACACCTACAGCTCCACAGGCCGCCTGTGAGGAGCACTTTTCTCTCGGCGCCGGGATGCACACCCCTGCTGTTTCTGTGCCAGGGAGCCAGACCCGTCTGCTCGTTCGTTGGGGTCCGTTAGAGGGTCGAATTGTGGGCGCGAGGCCGGCCTGCGCCAGCGCCCTCCGCAGCGGGGCACTTTCACCAGCAACCTCGGCTGCAATGGGCCCCCGCGTTGACCGCATGGGCCGGCTGGCAAGCCTTTATCAGCCGGCCGCATAATGAGCGACCGTTCGCCGGTCTGACGTCATCAATTGATCGGCGCGGACGCTATTGTTGCCAGGCGGCGGTTGGCCGGCTCTGTTTTTGACGTGCATTCCCTGCAGCTCTCGAGACGGAAGCCGCTGGATGCGGACTCGCGCCGAAAATTGGCACCTGGACTCATACCATGACAGGAGTCAGCAGAACTCTTTGTGTGTGAAGCGTTCTGTTAGCTTTCCTGTTTAGACGCTGCAGGCACGCGGCCGACTGCTGCGTATGCGCTGAATGCGGCTGGCTGTGTTCTGTGTGGTACGTCGTGTTCGCCGGCCAGCCGCCTTGCTCTGACTTGGTGGAGTCAGGTATCCAGCCGCCGTTGTGCCGAACGGACTCTTCAGCGGCCACAGACACGACAGCCGTCCCACGTACCAGCGATCGACCACCCCTGTCCTTCCCCAGGCTTGTCTCTCCCTTTCCCGGAGCTTCTGCTGGCGGAGGAGACCTTCGAGTGGATCTTCTCTCTGTGGTCGTGACGAGCGTGCTGGCAGGGACGAGCGGTCAGTGGTCAGGTCCAGTGGTCAGGTCCAGTGGTCAGGTCCAGTGGCCAGTGGTCCGTGGTCGGGCCCGCCGTGACGGTGACCGGTCGAGCAGTCCCCGAAGACAGTGAGCCCCCTCCCCTCGGTGACCACGGCTGTTCGAGGCGGCGGGAGCTCTGACTCACATGGAAGCTGGGAAAGATGGCGCTGCGATGGGCCATGCCACGCCTCCAAACCCGACTACTGAGCTGTGCACTGTGCACGTCCAATTAAAAATTAAATTCTGCAGGTTTGATTCACACTATCGGGACTTGCTTGTCTGGTTTGTGCCGCGTACACTTGCAGGTCCAGTCAAGTGACCGGTCGGAGGGTGCGTGACCTTCGGCATTACAGCCCTCCCTCTCTGTTCGCGCCGTGATAACTCTTGACTGTGACGGGGTGGGAAGTCGATGTGTTCTTTGATGCAAGCAGTATGCCATCTGATTTGAAGGTTCTGATACGACAATGAACTCGCTGTCGGCTGATCTTATTAGATTGTTGAACAATTGTCTCGCATTGCATGCCGATTAGACGTCATCTAACGGGCTTCTTAACTGTCAAAACGCACTGTTTGCCATCTGACTGAGCCCCATTGTGCTCCTACCCTCTTCCAGTGGACCGCATCAAACGCTTGTAAAATGTCTGATAGTAAAAGAAACACGTTCCGTGTGCCATAAGCTGAAGCCACAATCCTCCCAAAGGATCTCAGGGCTCAGTCACCGTAAGTTATTATGCCTTTTAGAAAGCCCTTACAATTGTTACCGGAAACGTCGAGCCGTCGGCCATTGCCCTTGACTGTCGTCGTCCAACGAAGGCGTGTTGCGACGGGTACTTGGTAACCGGCCAACATCGAGCCGTCACCATTGCCTTTGACTGTCGGCGCCAAACGAGCGTGTTGCAACGGGTACTTGCTTCGTTTCCACAGCAGGTCCCGTGTGTACCAGCCTGCTCTGTGTTTCCAGGGCATGTCTGGTAGCTCGCGTGACGTCACCGAGTGACCTCTCACCATGGCTGTGTCGCTGACGGCGCTGACCGCCGTCCTCGTGCTGGCCTGCCTGTCCGTGGCGGGGGCCTTCTGGCAGGCACGACCTGACACCCCGCTCTTCCTTCCCTCTCGGTGAGTAAGCGCCCTTGTCACAGGACAGCCCCGTTACGCAACACTATCTGTGATTTTTGGATAGAATTGTTTTACAGAGATGTATTCTGTTAGAAGAGCGCATATAATGATTAAAAAGCGCATATTTCGATGTGAAATTTCATTTTGGCTGGCTATAAGCAGAATACAAATTTTGTTGGCATCCGTAATACCATATATACAGTGCGTCACCGAACTTTTCGGTGAATTTTCGGTTTCTCGGTAAGTAACGGTCTCGCTCTTTTTTGTATTGGTCCCGTGTGGGTCCCACATCACCGCCGTTTTCTGCTCGTTATTATAAAGTGATTACACTTGTTCATAGAAACTGAGTGAGTTCAAGGAACCAGAAAGACCAAGGTGGTAGACTTTCAGTGGTGGTAGTGGTGGTTTTTGGAATGACTACCGGCAAGAAACGGCGTTCCCAAATGCGCCATGTTGCCACCCACGTGCTTTTGTTCAGAATCAGCTGCCGCTGTGCTGTATGCCAGCACTAATAGCTCGCCTTTAGCGCAATGGCACAAACAAAAAGTTCTCGTCATTGCATCACAAAGATACCTATTACAATCATTTACGCCATTGGATACCTATAATGCGTCATTTGCTCTTAACTCGATGAAGTCAGGTGATTTGCACTATTGTACTGGACAACAACCTGGACTGAGCACTCATTTTCTTCGACGGTTATTGAAAACGGCCTTCGTTCCGAGCTTATACTAGTCGAGATAGCGGATTGCGTAAGCAGTTTACGTGGCCCCTTAGTGTTCTGACTTAATTGCAACTGAAGCGAATGCGTAATACTGCATTTCCTTTCGGATAGAGGATCCCGAACAGCCTCTTTAACATGGCTGAGACCTACAAATATGTGTCTATAGGCCGCCAAACTCTTTATCTAAATTTCTCCACATATCTCATAGTCTCTGTCTGTTACAGGATGCCCTCGGGCCTTAAGGTTGTTGGCCTTAGTAACACTGACGGCTACGCTACTCAGCTGGGGAGCAAAACTATGGACTTTTTTATGGCATTGCGCACCCTTTTACTCCCGTACTTTCTTCAGCCCTGCTTGGAGTCGGGTGTTGTCTGAAGACTTTCCGGACGTTTTTTCTCACATTATGAATATCGTCTAGCAGATCAGTACCCCCTCCCCCCTCCGATGTGAGGAGAGATTCCAGAGAGACAGCGAAAGTGTGACGTGATCGAAACAGTCCTTCGACCGCTTGTGCCATGAAAGCGAGCGGCAGTAGTAATTAGGGAGGATTTCTTTTTACCTACGGAGTTCGGATGAGATTGGCCGCGGCTCCCGAGGTGGATAGTTCTCACCTCTCTCTCGACGTGCCCCGCGTAGCCGCGGCTCCCGAGGTGGATAGTTCTCACCTCTCTCTCGACGTGCCCCGCGTAGCCGCGGCTCGCGAGGTGGATAGTCTCACCTCTCTCTCGACGTGCCCCGCGTAGCCCGCGCGCTCGCGAGGTGGATAGTTCTCACCTCTCTCTCGACGTGCCCCGCGTAGCCGCGGCTCGCGAGGCGGATAATTCTCCCACCTCTCTCCTGACGTACCCTGCATAGCCGCGACTCGCGAGGGTGGATAGTTCCTCTCACCTCTCTCCTCACTGCTGTAAAATCGTCCACAGGCAACTCAGGCCGCCGGACTGTGTAGGCACGTAAAAGCTCGCAGAACCAGCGCGATGGGCCCGGAAATGGGCCCACCCCAGTCTTGTGCACGGGCAGAAGGTCGCCGTTTCCCAGCGATCTGATTTTTAGACGCCTTTCTCTCGTGTACCAATTAGCGGGCGTGAAACAGTGGGACTTTAGTTTTGAGGTGACGTCAGCTGATGCATGACATTAACAACTTGGTGGCCACCGTCCTTGAAGACCTTGCAGATATGCGAGACCACGCATAAAATGTGGATATGAAAAGAGACGTGAAATAAAACCACGCCACTAAAAGAGCTGAATCTGAAAAAGAACATCTGAATACAACATTCTACAACCATGCGTATGAAATCCCAAACGTCTTTGGTCTATGAGATCACCAAATTGACCAGACGCATCTGCCTCTGGTGGTCATGCAGGTGCTGGCATGTCCCGCTTCGGAGAGCTTAACATTGGGTTCATCCGGAGTGCAGGGAACGGCCAGAGCAGCTAGCGTCATTCAGGGTTCAGGCGCAAAAGGGCAGGGGTACTAGCAGTATCTAAGGAGTGGGCAGACAGATGGGCGACGAGTTTCTCTCTCCCTTTCTCTCCTTCTTTCTCTTCCTCTTCTTCTTTCTCTCTCCTCTCTCTCTCTCTCTCTCTCTCTCTCTCTCTCTCTCTCTCTCTCTCTCTCTCTCTCTCTCTCTCTCCCTCTCTCTCTCCTCTCTCTCTCTCTCTCCTCTCTCTCTCTCTCTCTCTCTCTCCCTTTACTCTCTCTTCCCCCTCTCTCTCTCTCTCCCTATCCCTCCCTCCTCCTTTTTATGCCCTCCCCTCTCTCTTCCTCTCCGTTCGCTCACACGCTTCTTCTTTCTCTTCTCCCTGCGCCCCCCTCTCTCTCTCTCGGATCTCCTCAACAATGCAGCTTGGCGGAAGCTTCTGCAGGTGTTTATTGGCGCGCTAAATTTTGCCGTGAGTGGCGCCAGCAGGGTCGGGCTGTCCTCGGCCAGCCACACGTTGCCCCCCGGTGCCGCGTGATCCCAGCAGATAGCCGTCCCGTGGGTCGTTCTCAGCGGCGCATATTGAGGCCACAGTGGCCCATAAGGGCCTCTAAACTATAATAGCCGAGTGCCCACAGATCCCTGGCATCATGAAGGACCCACCGGGACCACCCTAAAACCTGACTTGCGCCTGAGCCTGAGTCATGCCTGTTTGGCCTTGACCTCAGATGGTTGTAAGTCCCCGGGATGAGAAGAGTAAAGTCGCCCCATGTATACCCAGCTGCTGTTGACAAACAGCTCATTTGTTGACACAAAGTCGGGTGCGACGCCACTGTCTGGGTCGTGAATCCACCGAGGTCACCAGGCAGACCGTGCCGCGCTGTTTTTTCTCCCTGCATTGTGTCCACAAACCACGGGCCCGCGGCTGTGGCCAGTTTTTTGCTGGCGATGTCGAGTTGGGAGCGGTGGACGGCCTGCCCGGTCGGTCGGGACGTCACAGACTAGTCCTCTGCTGGCCCCGGTGGTCTCATGCCTTTTGAGTCCGCCGGTCTGCGAGTCCCTGGTCCGGCGGCCTGGGTCCCACCCGGGAGGGTCGGGCTTAGAGCTGTCCTAGATCTCGTGGGGAGGGAAGCCGGCTCAGGGCAAGGGTGCACAGCGCTGTGCGCAGGTGGCGGTGGGCCCCAACCCGCACCGGTCCTCGTGGTGCTTAGGATGAAAGGTGCGCATGTTTGGGGGCTCATGTTATGAACTTGTCAATGCAGTAAAGCGTCCCCCAGGACAGGCTTGAGTTTTTTGAACTGGTCTAACGGGCTATATCTCCCACGCTACCCGTTTCAAAAAACGCGGTAAGTGCTGTAATGCAGCCACAAAGAAACAGGAACACCCGAATCTGTTAAGATCTCATCATTCCCGATTGGCCCGGGTAAGCTAGAGCACTTAAAGGGGTCTAGTCACTTTGTGTTTTTTGTTACCGAAAGAGTTTAACAGTGTGGCTAGTGCAGTCAGCTTTTTGCTGGTACCATGGTGAAGCAATGATGTATTTGCTATGGTGTGCCAGTTACTCCGGTCTTTTCTTGGGGGGGGGGGGGGAGGGGGTCACGTCGACTCAGTGCCTGTGACTGACAGAAACCATCTGGGACTCTGGCGTGCTCTCTGTGGACCAGAGGATAACTCATTAGTGAATCGGCTGTCAGCTGGCGACGGCTTAATTGCAAGCAGTCTCACACTGGCCTTTATATTTTATATTTTATTTAGTATCCAGCGTCGCCAATTCAGCCTTTGAGCTCCTTCATGGCTCAAAACGTTCGTGACCAAGCATTAAGTGACTGCGATTATTTAGTGGCAGCGGTCAAGCCGCCACATCCCACGACATGGGGAACCACATGCCATGGCGCCGGACTGACGCGTGGTACGGTACGAAGCTGCCGTTCGCATGCGCTCGGGCCAGGTCAGAGGTTACCCTGGCGTGACACGGAGGCCGGCAAACAGCTGAATCACCGGGAACAGCTCGGGTGTTGTCGGAGCGAGGATCGTGGCTCTCGGCTGGTTTTTCGGTTTTATGATGAGTTGAGAGTTCCTGTGCTGAACATAACTGACCTCCAGTATACCAGAAGGTACTAGTCATGTGACGTTAACTGATGCAAGATTGGCCGTTATGATATTGTATCCCACTTGACGGGCCTACAAGATATAGAAGCTGTGCTAAAATTTTTAGTTGTGGATCAAGTGACGTGAATTTCCTTATCTAACAAATTTTGTTTTCCGGCGTTCTTCTGCGATGCTAGGTGGGTCTCCCGTATCATGAGTTGTTCTGCAGAAGATAAGCGACCGGCAAGATACCGGGAGGTGCCAGTAAACAAAAACGTGTGGCAATTATTCGGTTGTCTGTAGGGACGCTAATGTTTTCACTCACTCGTGGCCATCAATTACTGCTGAAAACATCGGATATTTTCACCATGCACTCAATCCAAATATCAAAATATTACTTGATTACCTCATGATGCAGTGAATGTCGATTATTTTCAGCATAAGAGCCTCATAATACCACGGGCATGTTGCCAAAAGCTGTATCTGTGGGTGGTCAAATGTTAAACTGCTTCCCGAATTCCTGACAATTTGAACTGAGTTTCTGCAAAATCGCCAAGTATCTACTGCAAATCTTTTGGCTCAGTGGGGGCGGGAACCCAGCCTCTTTGACGCACGACCCCTTGACTACGTACTTTTGATGCCGAATTACAGAAGCTTCCTGCTTTCTTTCTTGATTACATCAGGTCCAGGGTGATGCAACATCAGCTTCACGGAATGCATCAGCGCATCCAATCACGCAATATCTTCTAGTGTTACCACTGTCGGTACAT